TCTGCTCTTCTCCATCTAAATGTCCTACTTCCTCCAGAGCGATAGCAAAACAGAAACTAGTACAGGTTGTCATGAAGAATTAGGTTTGATTTTCTTTTTAAGGAGGCAAGGGAATTTGTAATACATTTTATTTCAGATATATTATTCAATACCAATAAAAATGTATTATGTGAAATTCGTATCTGAACTCACCCATTTCCTAACGATTTCTGAAGATATCTCTTTCTGAATTCTTTTGAAACTATGATGACAAGGGTGATTTTTTCCCCCTGCGATTCAACGTCTGGTCCTTCTGTGTAAAACGTAACCAACTGCGTGTGTTCGAAAAGGGAAGCAAGACGTGTTGGATGTTAAGTTGTTGATGTCTTTGGTCTTTTCAGCAATAGGATTGTTAAATCCTAAAACTGGATATAGGCTTCTAAAATAGAAAAATAAAATAAAGAATAAAATAATTTCTCAATACCTGATAATAATAGATCTCAAAGGAATTTAGATCCAGCGTGTCTTACATATGTTCCAAAGGGTTGGAACATGGCTATAGAGACAAACAGCAGAACGATCTGGAAGGCTCCCGGCTGGGGGAGATGCTGGCACTGATGTGATAGGGCCAAGATAAAGTTGTTCAGGGCCAGGAAAAAGGGATTTGTGTAGAGATGTTCAAGAGATAAGCAACAGAACTTGGCTTTGGAGAAGAAAGTCATAGAGTGACTTCCAGTGTTCTACTTAGGTGATAAGGTACAAGGTGGTACATGTTTATTCTTATGCATCAGGGAAAATTGCCGCTTTGGAGGTGTGTGCAGACAAGTGAGCACGAGGGCATGTTGTCTGTTTGTAGCAGGACTAAGATTAGAATTTTCTTCCTTCCCATTCTAAGGTTTATTATGCTCTACCACTATGCGTCCTCCAGAACAGTTTTTATAGTGATAATTCCTTGCTTTTATTTTTATTTTTGTAAATCTTGACCTAGGAAAGAAACACCTGACATCTGCAAAAAAAAAAAAAAAAAAAGATTTTATCTTCTTATTCTATTTAATCATCATCAGTTTATTTTTCCTACTTCCCCAATTCTTTGAATGTTATTGTACACAGATGTTACTAGGGATTAACAGAGCATCTTAGCCAGTCATGACTTTTTAAATATTCCATGTAGAGTTTTTAAAAGATACTTGTCTTCCTTTCAAAATAGTTTATATAATTTCTCTTATTGAGGAACTGGAAAAAAACAACAGCCTGAAATGAGGTAGAGTGTGAATTAGGTTGTTTCTTAAGTTGTTCTTGTATTATTTCTTATTAGTCCCATTTTACTGGGCAGGAAACTGAAGTCAGAAAGTTAAGTAATAAGAGGTCACACAACTGAGTCCTGGGCATCATCTGCCCTTAGGATATCAGACCTTGAGAGACACGAGATTGAGATCTCTATGGCAAAGTAGTTAAGATTATGTTCCAGAAAATTCTCTTGGAGATAGAGACAATATCCTTGCGTAGGTTTTAAAAATTTTTCTAAGTTTAATTCTCACAAATAATTCTGCCAAAGAAACCTGAACGTTAATATAGAAAGAAAAAGTATCTTCCAGAAATGTATGAAACATGACTTCCCGTTGGAATCTGGGTCATTTCAAGAGTATGCCAGTAAAGGACAATGAAAAGTATTTGCTAGTTTTAGGTAATACACTTTGGAAAGGGCAACTGATAAAAATGCAAATATGGAATTCACCCAAGCAAGTGAGGTGTAGATATAGGCATTTCTAAGAAGCAGACAGACCAATATTAATTAAGTTATTTGAGTTACCTTTCTGGACATATATGGTACATCTCTTGACTAAGTAGACATGAGTGATTCCAAGAAGTACCAGGGAGACCCTTCATAGCTTTATTTCAATGGGCTGTAAAAGTTTTAATTCTTCTCTGTTAAAATATCACTATCTCTGTGATGATGGATAGTGATGAGCTTTATTATTTTAGCAGCTATCAGATGATGAGATGATGAGGCATAGATAGGAAAGCAAGGATCCTATAAAAGAGAAGACAGATTCAGAATTTAGCTTACTTCTCATCAGATTATTATTGTCTTTATTTTAGCAAAAACAAAAAAAAAGTAATAATTCTCTTTTTTTTCATATAATTGGGTCATTGAAATATTAGCAGTTATCAGAGTTCTATCTAAGGAGGAAGGTGAACAACATGTCTAACTATTTGATTATTGAAGAACGGGAAGAATTTTTTAAATTTTGTTTATTGGAGGTGATCATTATCATTGAACAAGAAGAGACAAAACCAGTAACTATGGGGTGGTTTGATCCAAATGGGTCCAAAATGTTTTGATATTTAGAAATGCGACAGGGGCTGTACTAAGATATTTAGAGGATATTTTATATTTTGCACAAAATGTAAGGTATAAATAGTAAGTAGTTCCAAGCAAAGAACAAACACCTGGGCTAAGGTGGTTGACTTAGACATATACGGTTTGGGCTGTGTTTTGACCTGCATATCCGTAATGGTTAGATGTAAATATAGAATAATTGAATTTTGAGTTTGCAAAAGAGACCTCAGCTATCTTCTAGTCCAGTGGTTTTCAAACTTGATTTTAGCAACAGACATTTTTTTCTTTAAAAATTGAATCTTGGGTGGAACCCCAGTTCTTAAAACCGATATTAATAAGTGGGTTCCTCTGGCCCCTTAAATCTTAATAATCTTGATTGTTTGGGAGGAAAGCTCCTCATTGCCTACAGCATCCTTAAACACCCCAGATAGCACAGTTTGAAAACCACTGATCTAGTCCAACCCTTTCATTTTACAGATGAGCAAACTGAGGTCCAGAGAGGTTAAGCGACTTACCCAAAGTCGCACAGCTAGTCGTGGAAGAGCCAGGACTAGATCTCAGGTCTCTTGCTTCCCAGTCCAGTGCTCTTTCCACTACACCACACTGCCAGTAAGGTAGGTGCTGTGTTAGCATTATGTTCATAGCTCCTAATAGCCGTCAGTACTTTCTAACTAATATGCATTCAGTGTTTGTGTATCACTCCGAAATGTATAGGATCCTAGAAGATAAATCAATACCTAGAATGTTTCACTTTAAAAATTCTTTTAAAGCAATGCATTTAGGTAATGTCTGAGCTATGCTGGATCTTTTAGTTTGATAGCAATGATCAATACGTATGGAGTCAGTATGTTTCAGTGTAGATGCGTACTTTGATGGAAGGAGCATTGAGACTTGGCCACCACTCCTCCAGGGGCCATGCTCTGCTGTCATTCCCAACATTGGCCAGTCACTTGCCCAGAATAGTACATTCTTCTTAGCATTTGTTGGACGTGCACTTTCACATGAGCAGGTGTTCTCAAACTACAGCCTGCGGGCCACATGTGGCCCGCCAAGAACATTTATCCGGCCCGCCAGGTGTTTTTGCTGCCACTACCTGTCCTGCTTAGCAGCTGATTCATTCTGGGGCCCACAGTCCGGCCCTCCAATGGTCTGAGGGATAGTGAACTGGCCTCCTGTTTAAAAAGTTTGAGGACCCTTGCATAAACTGGGCAGACTCTCCCTCTGTTCTGTCTGTGCCTGTACCTTCTATCTCTGACACCTTTATCCTTCTTAATCAGGTGTGTATAAACTGTCACTGGGGCTCCACCCAAAATAGGCATAAAGGACAGTTCATTGTAGAATGCTGTTGTCCTGATAATCTCTGTTTTTGATTCGGTTCCACTCAGGTCCCTCCAGTATTACCAGACAAAGACCTTCACTGCATGCTAGGACAGTAAAATAAGTATCTTAAGGCCTGTGTCCTATTTTTCTTACTACCCTAAACCAAAAATGCATGTGGCAATCCACAGCCCCTGTGAATTAGTAGAATTCTTATGAGAAAAATTCCCTAGAAAAATAGATGTCATCATTGGTCTAAGAATAAAGTGCTGGTCTGGAAAGAGAGTCATCTGTCAAGTAAAAAAGGAGTTTGGGAGCTGTGATTCTAGTCCAAGTGGAATATGGTTTGTTCCTATCTAATGGTGTATAATGAGTTCAGTACAGCCAGAAAAGATTTCAGCCGGAAAGCATTTCTTGAGCTCTGCTTTTGTGTGAGAATCTGGGAACCGTGATTAGGTATCAGGTCTCATTTATGGAATGCATTCCTTCAGAAAGCAAGTGCAAAGTTCTGTGCCTCACAGGATGATGTGCAGTCCGGGTGTGCCTGTCCTGCCCGTACCTGATAACCATGGACAGGATGTGCATGTGCTCCGGGCGTGTGCTTCCTGAACTTGGAGGGGGTTGACCTGGATCTTCCAGTCCCAGCTAGCGCTGTGGGACTGCTGATTATCTTAGTGACACAGAATTATGTTGGGCTCCCACACGCTGCATTGCTCACGGGATTAGCCAGTTTGACCCCCGCTTGCCAGAAGAGCTTGTGTAACTGTGGGCATGTTCTCTGGCAGTGTAGTCCAGTATGGTTGTCCAGCACAGGTGGCTGGGAAACACCTGTAATATGGGTATTGCTGCTGATGAATTAGGCTTCATTTAATTTTAACTAACTTAAAAAATTTTAATTTAAACAGCCATATTGGACCACATATTAGATGTTCTCTGATGCAAAAATCAGATGCTAGGGAGAATCTCTGTACCTACATTACTCAGCGAGAGAGTGGTGATGTTTTACCTTGATGAATCTTCACCCAGTTTAGTTGCTCTTAGGGTATCTTATTAGAATCAGGTAGTCTTTTGGAAGAGAATGTTATCTACAGAAGGAGGTTGAGTTTCCTTCTGTTTGTGACTTAACCCCATGAGCTTGAGCTGAAAAGATGTTTCCAAGTTCGATGAGAAGCAAAGCATTTTCTCCTGTGTGCAATCTTACGGTCATTTTCGTCTCAACATGGATTTTAGTGAATTCCCATGTGTTTTTCTGGGATACTGAATTTAGAAAGTTTCTGGGTATTACAAGCTCAAGTAAGAGTAAGTGAACTGTGCTGGATTCTGAGTATTTGATGAAATAAACTCTTTTCCCCCCCTCTTTCAGAACCAAAGAAAATGGCTTTGACAGAGAGCCTTTGCACTCAGAACATCCAAGCAAGCGACCATGCACTATTAGCCCAGGCCAGCGGTACAGTCCAAATAACGGCTTATCCTACCAGCCCAACGGCCTGCCTCACCCCACCCCACCTCCACCTCAGCATTACCGTCTGGATGATATGGCCATTGCCCACCACTACAGGGACTCCTATCGACACCCCAGCCACAGGGACCTCAGGGACAGAAACAGGCCTATGGGTAAGACTGAAAGTTCTGTTCATGTTTTATGGGATTCGATGCTTTCGGACATGTGTCCTTACTTCTCCACTGAACTTAAAGCTTGGAATCTGTGATTGGGCTACAAATTCTCTTTCTTTCTATCTTCTTCTTTATGAGAAAACGTGATTGGTATTAATGTGTATTAAGCACAACAGCTGTGCTCTCTCTTTTATCACTTGCATTCTTTAAGACAGCAGACTAATTCTTTTTGAGGGAGAGCATCGGAGTTAATAATATAAAACCCTCAATTACAGTAACATGCAAAATGAATTTTTACCTTGAATTCTTTTTTAACCTGTGAGACTTTGTATGCAGTCTTCCCACCACAAATACCTTTCCGTGTCGGTTTTTTTCTTTCATTATGTCTTTTATTTCAGATAACCTCAGAGTTCATTTTGATTTTTTTCAGCCTCTGTGATATTCTGTGTTTCCAGAGTATGATAGGGGATTCTAACTGTGGCTTAACTTGACAGGTGTTCCTTGGAAGAATGACTTGGTGTCTTTTTTTCCTCAAAAATGTCAGTGATTAAAGTTAGTATTGACAAATGTGGGTCAAATACCAGACTATCGAAGAGGTAAATTTGGGCAACTATGTATTCTATCTGCCTGTGTTCATTCCTTCTTTGCATAAAACTATTAATTGAAAATAGAGCACTTGGGAGGTGCCTGTGGCTCAGTGAGTAAGGCGCTGGCCCCTTATACCGAGGGTGGCGGGTTCAAACCCAGCCCCGGCCAAACTGCAACAAAAAATAGCCGGGCGTTGTGGCGGGCGCCTGTAGTCCCAGCTACTTGGGAGGCTGAGGCAGAAGAATCGCCTAAGCCCAGGAGTTGGAGGTTGCTGGAGCGACTCCGCTGCACTCTACCTAGGGCGAAAAAGTGAGACTCTGTCTCTACAAAAAAAAAGAAAATAGAGCACTTAAGGAGACATGGCCTTCTAAAGAATAAATGTCTACCATGACAAATGGGAGGGAAGCTGAGCGAGGTAAGTTTTGGTGCATGCTCAGTGGCTGAGGGACACTTTTGCTAGGACACCTCCATTTCCTAATTTTTGGTGAGAGCAAACTGAGGATAGCAGGCAGTCTCCTTTTGTTTTTCTGTGTCCTGTGTCCATACCACCCAAAGCAAAACCTTTTTTCCTGCACACCTGTTGCTGACAAACTTCCTGCCATTGGTGATTTGGTAGATAGGACAGTGGGAAGAACAAGGGGTGACATCTAGGTGGAAAACCAGAAAACACTACTGAGGTTTAGAACTCTGAAAAATGCAGCCAACCAGCTTATCACAGCTTGGTTAGTTGTGATTGTGTTTGGTTTTTTAGCCACTGGCAGAGAGGCTCTGAGAATGCAGAAATTTACCTTAGAATTCAGCTGGCAAGCTGGGAATGCCCAATGTGGAGTCTTTTTGCCTTTCTGAAAACCCTCCACATGTTTAGAAAGTGGAAAGAGAGAGTCAGGGTGAGGGGAGAGGCAATTGAAGCTTTGGTTGTAAGACAGTAAATTAGCAGTTCTGGTTCTCCACAACAGTAATTTCTACATTTATAACAAATGGCTAAGCATATAATTTGTGCTTTCTTAATAGCCAATCTGTCTAATATTCTCTCAGGTACCATTTCTGAAGCGCTTTCAGAAGTGATTATGTTATTTCTCAGTCTAAAGTGATATTTTGACCCCCAAATCAAATGTGATAACAACCCCCTTCTGCACAAAAGCCTTCCCATTTATTTGTGACTTAAGGGCTGAAAACTAGGATTGCATGTTTTTAAACAGCAGTAAAGTCATCAGGTCACTGTAAGACCAGTTCAAAAGCTGCTGTTTTGTAGGTGCTAGGAAATGGCCTATTTCTTAGGCAGCAGATGCTATTTTATGAAATATTAGTGCCAGTGCACTATATAGTAATCAGCAAGGAAGTAATTATGCTTATGTGGAATGATTATGTTTTCATCAAGTAATGTAAAATATCCCTTCATGAATTATATCTGTATCCATTGGTTTGATGTGATTTTCTTGAGACCATGTTCCTTACCTTTTAATTATATTAGCTTATAAAACTAATAGTGCTAATCTCTATAAATATGCGCAGCTACTAAACCACCGCTGAAGTCTGGCAGACTTTAGTGTATGTTAATGTAAAATAAAATCTTGATGTATGAGTAACAAATTACGGTGTTACATCAGGCTGCCATTTTGAGAATGTAAAAATTGTCATAAAGGAATGCTTAGCCTGGTACGATTTATACCTGCTTGTTATGTGTTAGGGACATATACTCACTAGAATTCTTTAGTTATAAAAAAACTTGTAAGCATCATCAGTTTAGAGATAACCTTAGAGTTTTGGCCTAATTAGTTTAAATCTTCTAGCACCTAAGAACCAGTTAAGACTCAATGTCAGTGTCAATTTCCCACCTCTGGAAATGTGATCTTTGATGACTATGGGCGATTTTCCCCTAAGACATCCCTATGGTTATAAATATAAATAAAAATTCTGGGGTGTGGAATATTTAAGTATCTGAAATAGAGACACTAATAACTGTAAAATTTTGTTTGATATCTTTGTTCTTTTACCAATTTGACTCTTAACAAATGACTTTCAGTGTTCAAGAGCAGCAGACACATCCTTTATTTTCTCAACAAGAACTTGAGCTCAAGTATGTTTCTAAGGCACTCGTTATTTAAAAAATGAGATGGAGCTTAGCGCTGTTTCACAAGCGCTGGCATCCCCTTAGTCACAGACATCCTGTTGCTTGTTAATATTATTCCTGGTGTTAAGAGCCTGTATCATTGATTCAGGCTGCTGAAATTTTGAAGCTTGAGACCTCTGGAGTTGGTGTCATTAAGGGCAAATATTCAACTGCCTCTATATGGAAACCACTGTCACATTTATATACTTATCATTCTCTGGGTTTCTGTGCTGACTAATTTTAACGGTAATGCTTTTCTCCTAAAACACAGGCAACAAATAAGTCAACAAAAGTTACATATTTGCAAACATTTCAACTTGAAATAATCACAACAAACAGAGTAGTAACTAAATATTACTTTTCGCCAATGTCTTTTCTAACATGCAAATCAGTAAAAGATATTTTGCATTTTTACTTTTTTACCAATAGGTGGCATTGATAATTTTAACTTTTAAAAACGTATCTCAGAATGTGTTCCAATTGGACAGGAAAATGGTGCAAAGTGTTTGTTTTGTGGGGATTTTTTTCCTTCCTTCTTCCTTTCTTCTTTTTTTTTTTCCTGTTTTTGTTTTTTTGAGATAGCAACTTTGTCACCCTGGCTAGAGTAGAGTGGTGCAGTCACTTCATTGCAGCTTCAAACATGTGAGGTAAGGCCATCCTCCTGCCTTGGCCTCCCAAATAGGATTACAGGTGCACACCACTGTGTTTGGCTATTTTTTTAGTTTTTCTTAAACTCCTGGACGGATGCAACCCTCCCACTTTAGGCTTCCTAGGTGCTGGGACCACAGGCGTGAGCCACTGTACCCAGTCTCAAAGTGTTTTACATTTAACTTTTTACTTAGCCTGAGAAAGAGCTGTCATAAATTTGTTTCCTTCCATCGGCTATACATGAAATCATACTTCCTGGTTGGGTGAAGTGAGTCATGTGACCCATTACCTTTTCTCTAAATTAGCTAAAAGAAGAAATTTTTATTTCTCACATGTGTAGAAGGGAGCAAACCTGCTGGGCAGCCTCCCCATCAGAGCGGGAAGCAGAACCCTGGCCGGAAGCCAGGCATACATGCTTCCAAAAAGGACTTCTGACCACTCAATCCCACTCCTGGTGGAATGCGGTGCCTTATAACTCTTACCATCATTCAGTTCTTACATAAGGCCCATAGAGAAGGGGCCCAGGTGTTTAGAAACCACACCAGACTCAATTTCCTTTTTAGAGTAAACTTAGGAGAATTGGCAATCAAAAAGGATAGTTTTGATTACTTAAAATGGAAAATATTGAAAATGTTGCCATAGCCCAATGCCTTTCCTTTACAGTAGAATGTAAAGTGATTCTGTAAGAGAAACAACACATTTCCAGGTCTCTCTGATCAGAACCTTCCCTCCTGTCTTTTTAGTGAGACACGTATACTTTATATTTTCACGAGCCTTCCAGCTAGTCACTTTCAGTGGTGTTGATGCTCACTTGTAAACATTGTCATGCGACTTTATCACAGTAATATCTGAACTGTGATGCTACAGAGCATTAATACTTACAGATTTCACATAAGGCTTAGATTTATGATATATGCCAATTTATTTCTGCTATGTTTATTTTTTTACTAAAGGATGCCCAGTTTTAAATGTTTTATTATTTATTTTTGATGAATGAATAGATGTAGCCTTAAACAAGCCCTCTCTTTATGGTTTGATTTTTATCATGGAAGTACATGTGTTAGGATTGCGTTCATTTATACAATGCTAAAATGTGAAAAAAAAAATTAGCATGCTTGTTTTGGAAACACCTATCCAGGCTCATGGAAAACAACTTATGCTGTCTTTATTTTAATGCAGGACAGCTATATTTTGACTACCTCATGTCTACTTGTGGTCTCTTGTATTTATTAAGTGTTAGAATATATTTTTACTAAGATATGTTATATGAGTAACTACTTCTGAACTTAATGTTATTTAATGCTGCATCTTCTATGTGCTATGAAGGATTCTGACCGGATGATTTCTAAAATTCTTTCTAGCTCTAACATTTTATCATTTTATGAAGAACCCATTAAGCAATCTGAATCTAAGTATTAATCCTGTGTCCATTCAAAATCAAATACATATATTTTCACATCGTTGAGTTTCCCACATGGTAGTTGGCGTGTGCCTGTGTGCATATGGCTTGTGTACTGAATGCTTTAAGGTGACTGAGCTACCTTCTCTACATTTGCAGGGTTGCATGGCACACGTCAAGAAGAAATGATTGATCACAGACTAACAGACAGAGAATGGGCAGAAGAATGGAAACATCTTGACCATGTAAGACGTCAGTAATCCCTTAGGTTAAAAAATGTTTTGAAAACAACCAGAGTGAGGTTATGTGATAAAATAAAAGCTTCCTGATGCTTTGAAAGTATTGGGACTCCTACTCTCCTTGAAAAGAGTAGTAAGTGAGAATGTGTGGAGTAGAATGGAGGATTTGATTTCTGAATTGAGATGAAAGTCACTTAAGAGAAATGTTTAGATCTTGGAAAGGAATTTTCAAAGCCAGATTAGTGACTACTGTTTTACTCTGTAAAGGTCATTTAGTTTATCAAATAATGGGATTGGTATTTGCAGAGGTAGATTTACTGGCTATAATGCCTTCAGGTGAAATCTCTCTGTCACGACTCATGTTCATACATCCTACTTTTCTTCCTATTCCCATTGAACTTTCTCATCTGATGGGTCCGAATTTCAAATCCAGCCATTGAAAATATCAGACTGAAGCCTTCACGAATATAATTGCATCCTTCTTTGCCTTGAAATAGTTTCACCCTTCACCAAAGTCTTTACTTTGTGATGATTTGTATGATTTTTCCCTCTCATCCTGTTTCTTATGTAGCTGTTAAACTGCATAATGGACATGGTAGAAAAAACAAGGCGATCTCTCACCGTACTAAGGCGATGTCAGGAAGCCGACCGGGAGGAACTGAATTACTGGATCCGGCGGTACAGTGACGCCGAGGACTTAAAAAAAGGCGGCAGCAGTAGCAGCAGCCACTCCAGGCAGCAGAGTCCTGTCAACCCAGACCCAGTTGCATTAGGTACCTTTTTTTGTTCAGATAAGCATCTCGAACAGATGTATTTTTATGCTATTGATGTTGACTTTATTTTTAACTTGTCTTTTATAAAAATAAAGGATGTGTAGGGTAAACCATTTACATACCTTCATCATGTCTTATCTGTTTATCAGGAAAGTGGGCAGATTGGCACACAAAGAGATGGTCACAAAACCTAAATTCCTTTTCTAGGTGAATGTTTTGAATTTAATGACGAGTTTCAAAGCTGAACTAGAATTTTGTGTGTATAACCAAAATGTATGCTCCTCCACTGGACAACTGTTGGGACTCTGCATACTGCAAAAACACAATCTCAAAGAATGGACTTAGGACTTGGGCACCTCTAACCAGGTCACTAATGGATTCTTCCACTGCACACAAGGATGCATGTTTTATAATTACTAATTCAAGAAACAGTCTCTCTGGCAATCTTATTTGGTAGCTGTAGCTTACATTTGCAAAAGGCACTTTTCCTGAAAACTCCTCAAGGAAGACAAACCTGAAAGCAATATCATTTTCCTGCTGCTCCTTAAAAATTAATGGTAACATCGTAGCTCCTTCCTATGATTTAATCTCAACTTAAATTGATTAATCATGATTTTATTCCAGTCATATAGCAGGACTGTTAATATAGCCTTCAAAATTGAATGATAGTAGGTACCTATATTTAGTAGTGATATTTGGGAATTGTTGAGGTGATAAATAGAATATAATTTCAAAGATGTTGAAGGAAATCTTTAACATGAAAGAATTGTTGTGTGGCCCGTGAACTTTTACTAAACTTAGTGAAGATGGGTCTGTGTTGATCTCAGTTCCCTCAAATTCTCTTAAGGGTTTAACGCTATACTTTTTAGCTAAATCAAATTAGAGTACAATGCATGCTACAAACAAAACTAATTATACACGTGCAAATTATGGTCATGACTTTGGCTTCCTTAGCACCATGGTTGATTACCAAAAATTTTTAACTTGAAGTATCTTATCTGACTATTGATCACATTATCTTTTTTATTAAAATTATTCCTAGCCAAGGCAGTTTCCTTTGCAGTTAGGTTGTGGATTCCTGCTAATCCCTGAATGCTAAATGCTTATTATCATAATTCGTATCAAATAAAGGAAGATTCCAAGCCACTTAATTTACCCAGCAGGCATTATTCTAAAGCATATTTCAAAGACAAATATATATTTGTCAGCTTGCATTAAGACAAGCAATGAAAACAGAATTAAGTTTGATTTGAACCCATACTTGTCTAAACAAAACTATTTAGAGCAGAGTAGAATACACATCATGTTTTTTGATTTCCTTACTGTGAACAAAAAATTAATCATGAGAGATTTGCTTAGGACAAGTAAAAGGGATATTTGTAACCATCCAGTGCAGGCAAAACCCAAAAGCCTTTATTTATGTAAGTAAAACTTTGAGAGTAAAAATAGCCAGTTTGGGTTGCTCTATTGAACACTTTCATTGAGTCAGAACTTGCTCATGGAGTGTCTACTCTGTGCCGGGCACTGTAATGAAGGAAAAAGATTCTTCATTCCTTCTTTTGAGGACCTTTGGGTCTAGAGGAAGAGATAGTCGAGGAAAAAGCTGGTTTGATGGGCACAGGTAGCCACCTCGATTCAATCCCTTGAACTGGTGGGATTGCTATTATCTGCCACCAATTGTACAAGAAATATTTCAGAAATTGATCAGACTTCATACCATAAGTAATTTACTGTCAGCACATAGAACATGGGCCATTTAGAATATAGTCACCTCTATGAACACAGATTCTAGTGATGCCAGTGTGCATTGTGTTCTCTGGGAAAAGAGGTTCAGTTTCCCTATTATGTAACCAAAAGAAGAAACTTGGTTTTTAAAAGCTCCTGCTTAGAATGTACAAATTAAACTACTATTAGTGATGTGCAGTGAATTTATATTTTTGGTAAACCTGAGATGTTCCTTTGGTTTTAAGCTTTTGCAGGTTGTATTATTCAAAGGCTAAAAATACTGCTTTCTTTAGATTCTTTTGAAACATCATTTTATTATGGAGATGGAACCCTGGATTGCCTATGAAGAAACTATCGCACATTTACAGAGAACCTGTTGAGAGCCCTGAAATGTACCAGTTTTAGCACTGAGCATTCTTTTTCACTAATTCTTACTAATTGATTTTTGTAGCCTTTGGGTTCTGTTTTCTGGAACTGAGCTATGGTTGTAAATGAAAGGACATGGACCATAATCATTTACGTTAAGTGCTAAGTCTTTCTTCTAGGATTTAGAGTTGAATGGATTGACGTGTGTAAAGAAAGGACTGAAGATAATTAGTTGATAAATCTATTTTCTGTTGTTGGAAAATGTTTAATGGGGTGCGTGTGTACGGATAAAGTTACAAATATGTCTATATATTTATATACGTGTAGATCTCCATATCCTATGCTTATGTTATAGCTATTTCTTTTAGCCTAATTCTCTTAATACTTAAACTACTGTCTGGTATCCAGTGAGACCTTCTGAATATATTATATATCTTTGGCTTAAAATATTGCCTAACTTACAACCTAGCTTGGAAAAGTTTAGTCATACACACATTCTTAGCATTTTAAAAATGTATTTGGGTACTGCAAAGAGGAGACTGTATCTTTCATACTGATGTGTTGTATTTGTTAAACTCAGTCCCATCCTCAGTTTTGAAATATATTCATAGTATGAAGTCAGTATGGGGGACTAAGAAAATAACATGATTAATCTAGTACTAATTGAATTATAGAAGTTTTCCACAAATAATTGAAGACTCTAGTTTGAAAAGCCTCTGAAACAATTTTAAACATGGAGTATACGCTGAAATCATAATATTTCTATTCTTTATTTAGTTTAGAAAATCTAGATTTTTCATAATGTAGATTTTTCCTGGAAATAATAGGTATATATTATTTTTATTGTTATCACCCATTTGCTTTCCATTTTCTATGGAGAGCACAACTCTTAACAAAATTAGAAAGCTGATTCTTAAATTACTGTTTTCCAAGTATGACTTATTTATACATTTTAGTTTTGTTATGTATCAGAATTAAATTTGATTTGAACCCATATCTGTCTAAACAAAACTATTTAGAGCAGAATTGAATACACAGCTTACTTCTGATTTCCTTATTGTGAACAGAAATTATCGTGAGGGTTAATGTGATCAGAATTAACAGATGTGATCACTGAGGTAGAATTGCTTTTATTTCTACAGATAGATCATGGCTGGTTAGCATTTTACATGTTACTTTTAAGTGTTGACCTCGGTCTCTGTTCTTTCCTCTCCCTTTTCCTCTCAGTATATTTGTATCACTCTCTTGGTTCCTGACATTTTATTTTTTTTAATTAATTTTTTTTAACTGGGTCTTAAACTATTTGAAAACCTTTCTCTACAGTCCATCTTGTATGTTCTCTCTTGTTTTCGAGAATCTTCCCCATCATTTGAAAAGGCTAAAGAAAGTATCTAATGGTGGGTTCACCACTAATCTTAGACACTGAAACATGAATTTCTGCAACACAAATGTGTGTTTTCCTGTGACTTTTTTTAAATGTATGAATCCTGTGTTGGCAGGGTAGTAAACTGAGAAAACATTTTCATGTATGTTTTGGTAAGGGGTTAGCTTTTATCAGATAGAAATATCAGAAAGACATATGTTTTAAGTGGAATGAAAAATAAACTTCAGGTTCATCAAAGCTTAGTAATTTAGGAGTTTGTTGAATTAATACCAGCCCATATCCCAGGTAGATTGATGGAGCAATTAATATTGTATGTGTGTACGTATTTGTTGAGGTTTCTTTGCTTGTTTTTAAGAGACAGGGCACTTCTACATAGCCCAGGCTGGTCTCAAACTCCCAGGCACAAGGGGTCATCTCACCTCAGCCTTCCAAGTAGCTGGGATTACAGGCTTATTATTCCTTCCCACCCAGCTTGGAAACAGAACTTTTAAGTTCATCTAGCTGGCATGTGATTAAATTATAAAATTTCTCATTGCTATCTAACTCCTCAGGAAATCTAGGCAGGTTTAAAGCAAAGACTCTGAGCAGACTATCTGGATTGAATTCCCAACCTTTGCCCCTCAGTTTTCTCGTGTGTAAGATGGGGATGGTAATAATACATATTATAGGCATTTCTGGATTGAATCAGTTAACAGGTATAAAGCATAGGGGATACTCCCTAACATATACTGGATGTGATAGAAGTATTAGCTATATGTGGTCTCCAAATGAACTTTAAAGAATAGTGGTAAGTGAAATGAGTAGAGGTTTTTGCTTCGTATCAAGATTGTGAAATTATAGTGGATTCCAGATTTTTTTTTTAATTTTTTAAGAGTTAGGTCTTATTATGGCCCAGCTGGTCTTAAACTTCTGACCTCAGGCGATCCTTCTGCCCCAGCTTCCAAAGTTGCTGGGATTACAGACATAAGCCATGGAACCTGGATATAGTAAATTCTTAGGTATTTTTTCATCTAGAAAGTATTTTTAAGCAGTCATGTTTAAGTCGCTACTTAATAGGTAGAGAGATTAGTAAAGAATTTTGTCTTAAATACAGTAAATCTTTAATACCTTTGGGATCCCAATTCATTATACAAGACTGTAGAAAAATAGTTTTCTTCTAACCAAAGAAATATTATTCAGCTTCTATACTATCGGAATATAAAAACTATAAGCAAGCTATTCATTTTATCTGCATGTAAATATATGGAATTTTGTATCTTTTTATTGATTCCTTTAAACTGCATCATGAAATTCATGAAATGATGAAATCCACAACCCATTCAGCTGACTTCATAATGCAAATGCCTACTGCACTTAAAAAGGATGTGACTATTAGTTAAATATGCCCATCTTTAACACCAATAAGAGATGGTTACTTTCTGGAGCATTAGGCTTATTTATTGTTAAAGTTGGAAATCCTAAAGCAGTTGCTAGCTTTTAGGTTGGATTTGGGCTTTTGAAACCTAGTGTTGAGATTTCTGAATTTATTATTCTTAAAAACAAAAATAAGTGGTATTTTTGAAGAGGGAATATTTAAGCTTTCCTTTCTTTTGATGTTTCTGTAATCGTATCACGATGACAGGCTCATTCTGCCCACTACAGGATGAAGGCCATACCTAGGTGCAGCCCAGCTCTGAGCATCACTGGCCTGGGCCAGATGAGGTCACACTGGTTCTCCAAAGGCTATCAGCTCCTTCCTTCATGTACATTGATGGTGACCCTTGTGGGTGTTAGTGTCCAGTGGTCTCCATTCTGTTGTAAGTGTGGTGCACCTTGCGTCTTGTTATTACGTCATAGATTGCTCTGTGTGTTCTTTACATTTCTTTATTTTTTTTTAATTTTTTTTGTTCTTTACATTTCTTACACCATTTTTCTCCCACTCTTACTTCGTCTCTTCTCTTTATACATATGGATTATCTTCAGGAAGCTTCCCTCTTTCTCTTCTTTCCAAGCAATTTCTATCCCAAAGCAATCAAAACTTGATTTAGAAGGACTCTATAATTTTCACCTTTCGGTAGTTATATATTTGTACATGTTTTTTTTTTTTTTGAGACAGAGTCTCACTATGTCACTCTCGGTAGGGCCCCATGGTGTCACAGCTCCTGAAACTCTTGGACTTAAGCGATTTTCTTGCCTAAACCTTCCAAGTAGCTGGGACTATAGGCACCTGCCATAATGCCTATTTTTTTGTTGTTATTGTTGTCGTTGTTTAGCAGGCCCGGGCCGGGTTCGAACCCACCAGCCCCAAGGCACATGGTCGGCACCCTAACCACTGAACTACAGGCACTGAGCTTATGTTTCACATTTACAACCATCTCATATAGGCTCTTCCTTGTTTCTGTCACTGTATTTTAGCAACTGATTTTTCTAGCAACTGTTATTTTATAGGTGCTTAAAAGTTTATGGTTAAGAATTAGCTTCTTTAGAATCTAAGCATTAGAATCTGAAGGTGCTTTGTATAGGTTTGTCTAGATTGAGCCAATATTCTAAAATAACAGTCTCGAGAGAGGAATTGTTCCTTGTTCTAATTTTGATCAATTTCAGAATTTTTTCATTTTTTAAGCTCAGGTTTCCCTATATAGATTCTGATACTGCTGCGGCTTAACCAGAAGAGGAGACATTAAATATATTAGTCAATTTGTTTTCTGTACTTAGAGAAATGGTTTAATTCTGGGTATCAAGTAGATTTCTGAAGAGCACTTTTCTTTCTGTTGGTAAACGCTAAATATTTAGCAAAGGCACAGTGACTTAGAACTGGAGAGGCTAGTGTGAACTATGTACATATAATTCTTTGCCTTTAGATTCTGCTATTTTGAAAGAAACAGTTCTTTCAGAAAGTAGGTTAGGATTAGGAAAATTGTTTTGCATGACTGGCTTTCATATTTCTAATTGGTTTCTAGGTCAGGTGGAGTTTGGGTCTATGGGGGTATGTCAGGGTGTCTCTGGGGAATTTAGGGAGCTGTAGCCATGATGAAACATTGCACAACTTCCCACTGTGGTGTATGTACCCTCAGAATGTGTGTGTGTGTGCGCATATGTGTGAGATGGTTAATTCTGCCTATTAAGCTGAATGGGCCACAGGGTACCCAGATTAAACATTGTTTTTAGAAGTATCCATGAATGAGTTTCAGATACAGCAGGTGGAAGGGAGAAGGTCAGCTGAGTCCTATACATTAACATGTGGGTGAATTTGGAGAATATAAACATTGAGTGAAGTTTAAACAAAATTTATGCAAGTGTCATCTTAAGAAATTTGAGGACTTTGCCACCAAGGACTAAGGCAGTGTATTGTTATCTATGGAATATGATAATTTCTATTCCCACATGATGTATATTCTGGGCATTAAAATGTTGAGTCTAGAAGTAATTTCCATTTCCAAGTGATATATATCATGGGAGTTAAAAAAAATTATTTGGTGTATATGGCTTAATCCAAACTTCTTCAATGGTTTTGCTTTCTTTTAAAGTTTTGTGCTATTTGAATTTTAGTGCTGAGAGTCCAAGGGAACTTTAAAGTGCTCTTTTCATCTTATTTATAAGGATAAGTATATGCCATTCTCACTAGGTAACTTACCAGCTATTTATAGCCATGATATTAATAGTGATTGGATTAGTGAGTAGCATCTAATGAGAGTTTAGGATGTACCACACCAAACATATATTAGGAAGTGTACTTGCTTCAATCCTCAGAGCAGTGCTCTCAAATTCTAGTCATCTTTTTCTCACTTTACAGCTGAGGTAGCTGAGTCTTAAAGAAACTAACATGCCCAGAATCCCATGGGCAATAGATGGAAGAGCTACGATTCAGCTCCACTGGGCTCTAGAATTTACTTACTTCCACCTACACTGCCTGGGGCTGGCAGTTAGGATCTTTCATTCATGAACTTTGAATAACTTAAGATCACCTTCCCTCTTCTTTATAATAATGATTGCCCATTTATCAAAAAATAATTTTTATAAACTAGAGATCTCTTCTTAAGCCAAAAAATGAAAACTATTTTTCTCCTGCTCCTTGGGAGAAGTCAGGTTTTTTCCTGTCTTTAGACATTACAGATTCATTCTTATCATTCTTATCCAATAAATTGTGCTTAAGTCAAAGACTTTTAAAAATTGTCTTTAGAAGTTGTCATACGTAAATATCTCTGTGTGAACTTGACTGCACTTTATTTCTTCTGGAAATAGTTGTAGTAAGATGGATGATAATCTTGACAAATCTAACTAGCTATATCACATTTGTATTATCTATGCACCAGACAGTTCTAGCTAGCTTTCTTTGTTGTGAGAATGAAAGTTAACTCAGTAAAGGCGTTTCCTTTTCCTTTTTTATTTTATAGAAATGAAAGTGCACATGAGAATGCGTGTGTGTTTCTAGGCCATCCAATAGTCCATGAGGTTATCATATCAACTTTTAAAAATAAACTTCTTAATTGGAGTAATTTTAGACTTAAAAAAAATACCGTGCAATGATAGTTACAGAGAGTTTCCATCTATCCTTTGCTGAACTGTAAAAAATCTTGCTAATTAGCAATAGTCAGGAAAATCTAGTCCCACATGTATTTAAAGCATTCAAACAATGACATAAACTGAGATAACTTGACCATGCCTCTCTTTATTTTCAATATTCTATAGCTCCATAAGATATATGAGATGGGACTGAATTTCTTTTAATCTTCAGAATGAAGTATTGTTTTAAAAAATTAGCCAACAACTTGACATTTCTTTTACATATGGAGAAATTTTCAGTTTTAATCAAAATTTATCATGGATTGAATGATCATTATGTTTTATAAAAGTTAAACTGGGTTTTTCTTCCTTCCTAAAAACTTGTAAATATGTAGGCTTCCAGTGAAAATCCAATATGGAAGACACACAGTGCGTATTTTAGCCATAGAAGACTGCATGTACTTTGTTTATGGAGTACTTCATGCCTTTTCCATGAAAAGGAAAGTATTATTTTGGAAGTTGGCATTCCTGTCTCAGTATTAGTAATAGTTGCTTTCTCAAACTTTTACAATTAGGCAAGCCTAACAAGCACAGCCTTTAATTTAAAGTGGAACTTCATTTTCTTTCCTGGAAAGCACATACTAATCGTATTTGGTGAACTGAAGGCCTGTGAATCTGTTCTAATGAGTCTTTCTTCCACCCGTGTCAAATCCATGTGATCTAATGTGTGTGAAAAATGTTAATGTTCAGTGAGATTTTAAGAAAGTAATTAAGTATAAGAACTGGTTAGCCATAGAGTAGGGTTCACTATTTATTAAGGTGGCAGAATCAGAGCTTTGTGGAAATTTTGTTACCCAAACATTTGATTTTTAAACTATGAATTTGACTCTTAAAAAAGAAAACTACCAAATGTAGTTTATTTTCCTCAACTAAATAAAAGATCCCCGTCGTGAGTGCTGGGAGCAGTATTCCCAACCATCATATGGCATAAAGAAATAAAGCTGCTTTGGCTTTGAGCATACAAGACATTTAGACTAATGACCTTTTGTTTTTCCCTGGGCTCTAATATCTGGCCGTATTTTTGTGTATTTTCTAGAACTGCATTTTTGTAGAATAGCCGGGAGAATGGGCACTGCTCAGTTCCACCGTGTGACATAGCTGTGCTTACAGTGCTCCTCCCTCTCCAACCCCTTCTCATCTTTTCCTAGATGCGCATCGGGAATTCCTTCACAGGCCTGCGTCTGGATACGTGCCAGAGGAGATCTGGAAGAAAGCTGGTAAGAATTGTTTAAAAACACGAGTTTCGTGTTCTGGCAGCTGTGTGCAGTTGTTAATGCAGTGATGTGAAGAATGACAAGAAGGGCCTTTACTGCTAACAACAACAACGGCAAAAACAAAACAAAACAAGACAAAAAAACCCACAAAACAAAACAAAACAAAAAACCTGATTAATATTCTCAAACCAAGCCTGATTAGAACACAAAATGGTTTTTATTTTAGTAGCATCTGCTAGTGCCATTATAATTGAGAGGCTGGCGATACTTCCATTATATAAACCCTGTTTTTGTTCCAGGGGCTATAATGGTTTCAGGCTGAAACTTGGCATAGGTGGTCTTAACTTGCATGCTTTTTTTTTTCTTTGATGAAAAAATATCCAGTAGTTTAGAAATTAAATTACTTACTTTACATACAACATTTTCCTTTGCATTCTTAAAAAATCAGAACTAGTTGCCTATTTAAGGTACTCAAATTATTTTTTGGTCACAGTCAACTTTTAAAGTTACTCTTCTGTGCCAGTTAATGTTCTGTGATTACTTTCTAAAGTAATAACGCATAAATCTGTTTTAAGAGTTAGAGGTGACATTAAAAATATACTGTGTCTTTGAGCTGCTGTACTACAACTGTTAAAATAGTTTGTGCATCTGAGTTGGGAAACTGGGAAAATTTGCTTCTGCAAACAGTCCAATGGGTGTAGTAAGGCTGGCAACACTAATCAGATAACTGAGGGAAAGGGTATTTGTTGTTTTTATTCTACAACAGAATTTTCTTTGGGTTTTGATTTGATTCAGCTGTGTTTGTAGTTATGTGTAACTTGCATACTCCCTGGTCACTTTTATCTCATCCAAGTATTGTTATAGATTTTCAAAGAAATACCTGTTTTTGTAAGAGTAATAGTAAAATCTGATGGTATTGTAGGCTTTGTAGCTCTTGCATGTCTACTATGCAAATTAGACAGGGCCGTTGTGCTTAGAGCACTGGTTCTCAACCTGTGGGTCATGACCCATAGGAAGTGTATTAAAGGGCCATGGCACTAGGAAGGTTGAGAACCACTAGTTTAGAGATTAAACTCTGTTGCTCACCTTCATAGTTTTACCAGATTAATGGTAATAGTCATATGATATTCTCAAGCTGTTAAAAATATGTTGGTATCACCTACCTGAAAATGGGTTGATACTTCTTTCTTCTGATCATTTTTCTCTTCCATTTTTAAACTGCAACTTATTCCAGCAAGAAGTACAAAGAATTGTCATTTTGGACAGCAGAGGGTGACTTTTTATGTTGAAGGAAGAGAGTCTTTTCTCTGCATGTCTTTACTTATATGTATTTAGATTAAAATTTTGATAGTTCATAAAGAAAAATTGTGGGTAAGGTCTTGTGTAATCCAAATTCCTCCTGTGCTATTATCTGCTCCATTCTTTGTTTGACTGCTATTAAGTGAGAACAGATTTTTCTGAATATACCACCTTCGTTGGAAAGTCAACTTGAATAGCTACGCACAAAGGAAGTCTTACCATAAGTGGTAAGCAATTGGAAGCAGATTCGAAACTACCATGCATTTTCCACTTAATCAGTTTTTTTTTCCTACTTGACATGTTGTAATCTACTGAATCTACCCTTATTTTCTTCACTTGTCTGTTTTGAGAGTTTCCAAACCTACATTCTGATTGTACATTAGGTGTTGGGGACATAGGAGAATCGAGAGAGAACCATGCTTGTTTTCTGTTGTGTGCTGTACCCTCTAAGAATGGTTAAACCTTACCAAGGAAATGTTTGGATTTTGCTGTTGTTTCTATCAACTATATGAGGACTTCAGTATAAGTGCGACTTAGTCGTGGAGCTGATTAAATTTGCATTCTTCTCATAGAAGTATTCCTGACCTGCTGCATATGAACAGTTTAGGCATAGTTTTCTGTGGATTGATGCTAAATTTTAAGGGACATATTAAATCCTTACAGTATGAATGGCAGCTTCATCTGGAAATCGCCAAATAACTGTTTATAGTATTTATCTTCATAGACTTCTTAAAAGGCATTTCTAGTGTTCCCAGTGTCAAGGCATCTGGCACAATGAAAACACCAAGGGCACAAGGTGACAAACACACTGAGCTTCTTACCATTTGAAGGCTTTTCCCTGGGATTCTAAACTTGGCTATGGGAAAGGTTTTTTTGTTTGAAAAGAACCTATAAAGTGTTTCTTTGCAATAAAAGTATTATATAATTACAGCAGGAGATAAGTAAAGGTTAAAGCATTGAAATTTACAAAAGGAGCAGAACTCTCAAAATTTGATGAGGTATAACCAATGCATCCTTTATCACAGAAAATTATAATAGCAAAAACTCCATCTGTATCTTATACTTGAAGGTACATAATACAGCTTTCTGTGCTATTTTATTTTAAAGTGATTTCATATGAGCAGAAAAGTTACAAAAAATTATACCTTTCACTCTTATTCTTCTATTTTGTTATTCTCGCTTAAGTATCTTTTCTCCTCTTTCTCTGATAAACGTATGTGTGTGAGTGTGCATATGTGTGTATGTATGTTTTCTAACATTTGAGAGTAGTTGCAGATGTGATATCCCTTTATCCTAAATATTTTAGTGTATATTTTCTATAAAGAATATTTTCTTACATAACCACAGTACAGTAACCAATCAAAATCAAGACATTGACATTGATGTAACTATTATTTCATCTGCAGACCTTATGCAAATTTTGCACATTTCCCCAATAATACAATATAATAGCAGAGCAAATACACATTTTTAAAGTTTAGGCCTTCTAACACATGTCCAAAGCCCATCAGTTTTTCCCTAAAAGTAGTATTTTTAAGAGCATAAGTAACAAACTCAAAAGTTACAAAGGGTCCTTGTAAAACTTGGAAGAAACCTAACGTAAAGATGGTTTTAAAATTGTAACTGAATGTTTTCTTCAGTATATTTCTTTTCACATGATCAGAGAATGTTTGCAGTTGGTAATAAATATTCAAGCACCTTGCAAATGTCCTACCAATTCTCTTTGCTGATCTGTATATGCCTGTGGGATTAGAATAGGAATGCATAATTTAAATATAAATTGCCTGATTTGCATATACAATTAGTCAAGCTACTGCTTTGATCATAAGCAAAAATTATTGTCCTGTATTACCACTTAGATAGAATTTTAATTCACCTTGAATATTCAAACGAAATTAGACCCTGGCTGTACAGTTAGAAGGGCAGGGACTTCCCTGGTGCCCCAAGTCATTTGTGACAGGCTAATGAAGGCATCTTTTCTCCTCCTGGTGAAGAAGGTGCTGTAAGCTCTGGCTGCAATACCCTGATTCTATCCAGATTTTAAATGAGTGTCTTAAAACAGCTAACACAGACCTAACATTTTTGTTAATATTTCCCGTCTGGATCTTTTTCTTATTATTTTGGTTTATAAAGCCCAGCAGACCGTAATTGCAAACTAAAATGATGGAGGCTACAAAAGCCAGGACAGTTAATTGCTGCCGGAGGTCTTCTGATGCTCCTCAAGCCACGGAGTATAGATGTGTGAAATGAACCAGAGAAATTTAAGAAACCATAGGAATACTTGTACTGCTTACATCTTTAATCTACATTAAAACATTTTTATTAGGAATCTATGTTTTTAATTAAACAGAACATTTAATTAAGGTGCTTTTTAAGTGGGTGAAACAATTAAGTACAAACACTTGAATGAAACATGTCATAATTAGTTTTAATAGAGTGTTAATTGGTACTAGGTTTGCCAAGTTAATAATTACTGCTTATTAAATTTTCAATTAATCATTGTCATTTTGCTTTGAATAAAGATGAAAATTAGATAAACTAATTCAGGGGGAGGATATTTTCCCTTGTTAATTAGAACAGTTAATTTTTTAAAATGGAAATTATTTGTTTTAGTTGTCAATCTTACATTGTACATTCGTTGAGTCTGTGCACCCTTTCCTCAGCCGAAAAGTAAAGAGCTAATTTGATACCTTGAAGGTTTATCATCAGGCCTGCCTGTTTTGGCTTGTGGCATGATTTATTTATATTTGTCTAGTGCAACAGTTGGTTATGCAAAAACCATTGTATATATTTGATGAAGCAGACAGAAATTCTAAAATTTCAAAATGAGAAGAGGATTTTCAACAAATCCCTATCCTTCATTCCATAAAGGGCTATAAAGGACAATATCTCTATTACTCAGGAAATGACCTGATCAACTGTTACATCATTCTTTTAAAAAAATCCATATTAACCTAACTGCTATCTGATTTACTTTTTCACTTTTGTGTTGTATTTTTTAACCAGCAAAATAATTGTTTGCACTTACGTAAGTGTACATGTAAAATGCATTTCTTTTTTTTCTGAATGCTTTATTCATGAATTTTCTATATCCGTATTAACCTACAGTGTCATCAAAACTAACTTCTATACATGTTTTAGTTATTCAGACAGGTTTCTTGTGAGTGTCCAGATCTTTTAACTTCTTAATCTGGCCTCAGAATCATTTGTGGGGACACTAGTTGGGTAAAAATATTACTGTAATAATGTAAAAGATTAAATTGTAGGAATTTAAAAGATAACCCAGAAGTGCAAGTTACTGAAAAATTCTTACCCTTTGTTTTCCTAAATGAATTTCATATATGCCAGTTTTTTAGACCTCCAGAACTGCTAAGAAATTGCATGAGACTAATGCCTGTTCTATAGAATCCTGTTACACAGTAATCAGTATCCAGGCCCTAAGCTAACCGAGAGGTGTTGTCTTGTCTGGTTCGGCCTGACTGGTGCACAGAGGAGGCGGTCAACGAGGTGAAGCGCCAGGCGATGACCGAGCTGCAGAAGGCTGTGTCCGAGGCGGAGCGCAAAGCCCACGACATGATCACGTCGGAGCGCGCCAAGATGGAGCGCACGGTGGCCGAGGCCAAGCGGCAGGCCGCAGAGGACGCGCTAGCGGTCATCAATCAGCAGGAGGACTCCAGCGAGGTGAGCTTGCAAGTGAAATGGAGTTTTTGTTAATGAGAGTGCTCGTTTGCTATTCCACGATTTCCCAAAAAGTGGATATTGGGCTTAAGACAAATGTTTTTAGGGAAAAAAGTTTGAAACTATTTGGGGAGTCGAAGTACTTGTGAAATTAAGAAAAATCTGATCAGATTTATTTTTATTGGCATATATTTATGTGGTATAAGTACAGTTTTGTTACAAACATAAGTTGCATAGTGGTCAAATCAGGAGTTTTAGGGTATCCATCACCCAAATAGTGTACATTGTACCCATGAAGGAATTTCTCATCCTCCCATCATCCACTGTCCTAATCCCTTGTCCTTTTGAGTTGTCTGTCACTCCACTGACCACATCTTTCACCACCCATTTGTGAGTGAGAACACGTGATATTTGATTTTTTTTCTGATGTGTTTCACTTGAGACAATCACCTCCAGTTCTGCCCATATTGCTGCAAAAGGCATGATTCCATTTCTTTTAATAGCTGAATAATACTCAGTGGTGTTCATTTTTTTGTTAAAGGCCAGAAGGAAACTTTGCCAAAAGAAAGTTTTACATGGGTTATAGATTAAAGAAAAATTCTTGTAACTTCCTAGCATTATTTAGAAATTTAAAACCTGTCCCTGTGTATGTGTATGATTTCCTTCTGATAGAAGGTATTTCAATAAGCAATGGTCTCCGAAGACATGCTGTATGCTGGGGCTTGAAATCACTTCATTAGTTATTGCTCCTAAAGTTCAATGCTAAAATAATGTGTGTAGCAACTAAATATTTCAAAGAGATCTTCTATGTAATCTGTGATATTATATACAATCTGTATTTGCATATTCGTTGTGATAATCAGTATGGTGGCCATTTCCTATCATAACTTTGCTCCTGGAAGTATTATTATTTAGTGGTATACCAGTGTAGTAATTCACACACACACACACACACTCTCTCTCTCTCTCTCTCCCTCCCAGATAAGCATAAACATATGATCTTGACACAGTCAGTATTTAGCATTATAAAATATGGTGTCAAATGGTACCTGTGATAAGGAGTAAGTATGATTGAATAATCTATTGTTAAGAATGATCTTCTGTAGTAATTTCTCTTTGGGTCTCTGGAATATATGGTTCAAAGATCTTGGAAATAATAAAAATGCAATATCTAAGGTAATTATTTCTCACATGTAGCCTGTAAAATCGGAGCAAGATAGTAATGCTTCCTGTTAATAAATACAGCATCACAATCCTCAACCCCAAAGTAACTTTAAATAAAGAATTACAATTGGCTAGTTTCACCCAGATGAACTTGCAGAGACACGAACTGATAAATCAGTGCTCTACCACAATCCATATCTGTAATTTGTGGGGGACAGTAAGTATTTAATGTGTACCAGGCTTTTCTGTAGATGAAAGACCCTGTGGGAATCACTTGATGCCCAGAGTTCCTATTTAATGTGTAGCAGATGAATAACAAGGGCACAAAAGGAATTGATTTTCAACATTTGAAAGTTTCTCAGGGAAAGAGGGACAAAGGGAAGTTTATCTACCCTTTAACTGCTGACTTTTCCATTGTTGAATTAAACTAGACATAAATTCAGTTTTATTGGTACCTTGTGGCTAAGATATATAAGGCCTTTGTTTTGTTTTTTTATGTTTTTCTAAAAATTTTTGTTAGCATCTTTTGAAAAGAACTTGTCTTGCTCTATTGAAGTTGGCAATATTGTGAGGCACTCTTCTTGGCATCGTTAAAATATTATCACTTTCATGTGAACATGTTAGATCTGTTAGGGATGGTAAGAGCATTTTGTAGGTCACTGAATTCTAAAGACAAACATCTAGGAATAAATTGTCAATTATGTCTTTGTATTTGGCCAATAACATTTTGTATTCCTTCAGTACCTAAAACTTTTGTGTCTATTCCTAAAACCTATCCAAAAAAACATATGATCTTGACACTACTATTTAGCATTATAAAATATGGTGTATCGAACAGTACTTGTGATGAGTAGTAGGTATGATTGAATAACCTACGTTAAGAATGATCTTCTGTTCTCTTTGGGTCTCTGCGAAGGGGGGTGGGAATGATGAAACAGATCTCTAATATATATGCCTCTATCTTCAGTAGCACTTTCCCAAGAATTTTAAGACTAAGGTGGGGGAAAGAGTTTGGAATTCAGAGGGGCAGATTTAATTTGTGGCTCCAGGTCTTATAATTCTTTATGAGAAAGCCGCTGAAACTTTAGAAGCTTTGGTCTTGTCATAATGTGAAGATGAGTGAAAGTGTCTTGTGTAGTGGCTAGAAACTGGAGACATGATCATCCGGTCACGTTGCCGGTGAGGAAACTCACATGGCTAACAGTACACAGCTAGGAAATGGCAGAGTCTCAACTGGAACTCACAGCATGCTGTCAGTCCTCGTATTGTTTCATAACAATGGAGTAAGAACTTTTTATAAGGATCGTTAAGGTGATTTTTGGATGCAGGTAAAGGCAACTTTAGTCTGGCTTCTTAACCTTTCTTCACTTTAAACTGTAAGGCCGCATTTAAGATTTGGTGAGGAGTCATCTCTTTTCCTCATGATTGTAGACAATTTCCTGAGAGTAGAAGAGAGAAATATGGAAGAGAATTTCATTTAAATAAAACTGAGGCTTCTCTGGACTTGCACATAGGTCTACATGCATATACTAGAAAGGTGGTCTAACCAAGGACTTGATAAAGAGTTGTAAAGGGTTAATCCATTAAACAACCCAAAATTAATGTCATTCCCAAGGAATAATCCAAGTGTCTGGTGATGGGTTCAGTTCAGCCATACCTTTCTGCCCAGTTATCATATTGAATTTGTAGATAAATGCTTTTTTCCCCCTCAAAATGAAGACAGAACTTTGAAGTCAGTGTGTTATTTTTCCCTACCCTGTTCTTTCCTCACACTTATAAATGTATACCCTGTAATAGAATCAACCTGACACAAGTCCTCAGCGGTCATGGTTGAATATTACCCAAAGTCTAAAGAGCTCTCTGAGCCCCTCTGGGACAGAGCTGAAACAGGTCTGGCTTCTTTGGGCTAGGATAGAGCATCTATACCAGTTCTCACCATTGTTGGCCCCCAGGGTGGGGAATCTGTTAGGTCAGAATGGTGTGTGCTGAAAAGACACTTCGTTACTTCTCAGAATTTTCATCTATGTTTTTATGTTCAGGCATTTTCATGAATATGAACAATTGAACACCCAATAAGGTTCATGTAGCATTGTGCTTTAGACATTTTATGGATTGTTCATTTTCTTAGAAAAAGAGGTCTTAATTCTTAGAAATGGGAGATGTCTGCCCATAATAGTAAAAATATACATTCTCCTTAAATGTAACAGCTATTGATTTAAAACTATATTTAGAAATTAATGAGCATTCTTTAAAAATGTGACCTGCCCAGGCTAGTTTGTTATTTTATACATATAACTAAATTACTCACATCCACTTATTCTTTCAACAACAAATTATGGAGCCATCATGGATAGTGTTGGCACAGAGGCCACCTCAGCCCCTGCTTCATGTTGATTGCTATTTACTGGAGGAGTCAAATAACTACATTGTAAGAGTCATAATGAAGTTTAATATGAAGGCTTCTGGAAAAAATGTTTGGTTTCAACTACTTCTTAAGGATGATCCAGAACTGGTCAGCAGCTGCCCTGTACCACCCATGGTTATCACCACTCTTGCAGGGAAGTGGGAAGATAGGGAGGGAAGCTTTGCCAGCTTTTGTGTTTTAGAAGGGTTAGGTGCATTACAGCGTGCAGAGAGATTAGAGGAAGCTAAAAGGAGGGACCAATCTCTGTCAGGCAAGAGGGAGAAAACTGTTAGATGAGGATGGTTGGGAGAGGTGCTGAGGGTGGAGGAAGTTGGATGTTTGGGCTGCATACTCATGAGATAGAATGGGTAAGGTGTCAGAAAAGAAGAAGGAGTCATGGTTTTCAGTGAGTTTGGGACATACACATTAGCTGATGTTACTTGAATGGCCTTCAGAAACTTCTGGAAGAGTATATTGAGCACAAAGGCTTAAGTTCATCCTGTCTGATGTGAAAACCAGTAGAGCACTCTGTGGGATGATGTTTACGTCTGTTGTCTCATGTAATTATTCTAAGAGTAATACCTTCTACTCTCAAGTGTCTGGTTTAGGTAAGTTATAGGTCCCACCACATAATGGTCATGGTCAGCTGGTTAGATAATCATCTCACTAGCACACCTCAGAGTCAGATGGGTGTGGTAGAAAGGATGTGAGAGGAGGACCCAGAAGACCTGAAGTCTGTCCTCATCTTGGATCTTTGAGTGATTATTTGTATTCTTGTCAGCCTTCATCTCTCCTTAAGGAATGAAACAGGATATTAATTTATCTTACACCTTTATTTAAAGATATTTTTACATAGATGTTTTAATTTATAATATTTTAAGAGCTATAAAACAAGGCATTCCTGTCTATGCATCTTCCAGACAGCTTGGTTTTTAATCACAATATGCACTCAGCTGTTCTGAGATGATATTCTTTCCCCTCTTTCCCTCTTTTTATCTGAAATCAGCTTCTATTGTAGACATCTACTCATCTCTTTACTAGATCATGTATAATCTATATAATCCAAATCTATAACAATGTATATGTGGATAATAATTCATAAATTATTACTCCCTCCCCTTCATAGCGATTTTAGGGAATCTGAGCTTTGGAATCAGAAGACCAGAGTTCTGGTCCTAGCTGGGCTGTTTATGTTTCTTCTGAGCTATAGACAGCTCTAACTTCTTCTATCTATAATTTCTCAATTTAGCCGCCTTCTTTCTACCTCACTTTTCATATCTGTATGGAGCTAGTCGTGCCCATTCCACATGGAAAAACCCGTGTTCTGAAAGGTTGGCAGTAAAGGATGGAAACATTTCAGGAAGAGAGAAGAGTTAAAAACACTTAATTGGGGGAGGTCAATAGGAAGGAGGCTTGGCGGCAAGAATAAATAATG